CCCACATTTTCAGAGATACTTTGATTCCAGGTGGGAGGAAGTAGAAAAACAGAAAAAGCAACATATAAGAGTCCTTTAAGGTAAGAACTATCTGATCTTTTAAAAAGGAATTTTGAATGGGCATGGGATACACACTTAAGACTCCCACTACTCAGCAGCTGTGGCCAGGCTGTGAGTTTGAGGCTATCCTGGGCTACAAAGTGAAACCCTGTAAAATTAAATACAAAATTTAAAAGTAACTAGGAGTGCTGGCATATGCCTATAATCCATCATTTGGAAGGTTGAAGCAGGACTGCCATAAATTCCAAAGTAGCATGAGATTCAGGAGATCTTGTCTCAAAGGAAAAAGACATTTTTGCTTTGTTTTGTTTTTGGTTAAGGGTGATGTCAAAATTCTCATGAAACTGCTAAGTATAGAGGAGAAATAGCACCTCTGAATATCACAGAGCATGACTGAACTGGTGGCCTCAGTATCAGGAAAATCAGCCTGCTTTTGAGACCGAATGACAGCCCCCCACCCTGAGCATTCGAAGACTAGAAGAGGATGTTGAATCTGGAGATAGGGACAGTTGTGAGCCATAATTGGGTGCTGGGAATTGAACTTGGGTCTTCTGCAAGAGCACCAAGGGGCATCTCTTTAGTCTCCAAAAACACTTTTGTAAAAATGGTTGACTATATATAGCCAGGTCTATAAGTGTATCCCTTTTATCCCAGATTTCAGGGTGTGTGTGTGTGTGTGTGTGTGTGTGTGTGTGTGTGTGTGTGTGTGGTTCGGCAGATCTTGTGCGTCTGAGGTTAGCCTGGTCTACTATAGCAAGTCCCAGGCTAGCCAGGCTACCTAATGAAATCCTGTCTCAAAAAAATAAATTGTTGCCTCTATGTACTGTCTAGCCCAGTACCCACAGTTTTAGATTAAAATGAAAGTCTCAAAGTGACAAAAATAATTCCTTCAGCAAACAGACCTTTCTCATTTTGAGGAGTACCTAGACCTTCAGGTAAATAATTCTAATGGTGAAAGTTTGGACAGTTTCCCCTTGAAGAAGAAGTGAGTGAGGGTATGGGTGTTTGCCATCACTGTTCATGTTTAACACGCCATTGGACTCTGAAGAGAAAGGAGGGAACACTTCTATTACCGATGACATGGCAGTTCACATAGAAAATACAAAGGATTCTATAATCTACATAGCTTTTCTTCTCAAGGATCTACTAAGTACATGCTGGATGTATAATATGGTGACACCCTAACAAGGTTTGTGGGATGCATGTGTCACGCAAGGGGAGTTAATGCACATTCATCACACTTATGAACCAGAAAAGATCTTGATTTGATAAATTATGACCTATACACTGACACAGTGAAATAACTGAGAGAAATCAGTCCTGTATTAGGCTCGTGTACAGTAGATCTGATATTGTTAAAATGACAACCTTCCTCAAGTTGGTCTACAGGGTCAATGTCAATCAACGGTCCATTTTGAATATGAGCTGACTAAGATCCTAACACATATGTGATATCTAGACATCAAGGGAAAAAAAGAAGGAAAAGCTGGAAGATCCTCACTATCAGACGGACGCTGCTACCGATGGCAGGAGGTGCACAGGGGTACTTTTTATTCCACATTACAGAAAGGAACCTGGACACTCACAAGTAATGACTTGCTTATTCTGAGTTAATACTCCAGCCCAGGTAGAAGTGAGAGGATCAGGTCAAGAAGAACTTTAAAGGGCCACAGGATGCAAATTGGAAGCTACAGAGAGAAAAGTAGTTGTAGTCTGCACTCTGTATATGAAGGTACCCAGACTACAGAAGTCAGTACAAGTCATTTCAAAAACAAAAGGCAAAAATAGATTTAACAATGAAAAAAAATCACTGAAGACTAGAATGTGACAGAAGATAAAATGTTCAGACAGTATGTGCAGATGACCAGGAGATCCCTCACAGAATGCAAAGGTAAACCCCAATGATGGTCTCCAGAAGAGGGAGCTGAGGGCTGGAGAGAGGGCTCAGCAGTTAAGAGCACTGGCTGTTCTTCCAGTGGACCCGGGTTTAATTCCCAGCATCCACATGACAGCTCACAACTGTCTATAACTCCAAGATCTGACACTCTCACATAGACATACATGCAGGCAAAACACCAATGCACATAAAAAAAAATAAATAAATTATTAGAAAGAAAAAAAAAGGGCTGGAGAGATGGCTTAGCCGTTAAAGGCTAGGCTCACAACCAAAAATATAAGAAAGAAAAAAAAAAGATGGAGCTGATGCATGCAATGTAATAAATATCTATTTGATCTCTGCTGCCATTTCCATAAACCTCTTAAAATCTCTTCTTGCATCCTCCACAGGAACAAAAAAGGTCCTTGGTGAATACACATTAATGCCTAGGGTGTGCACTTCCACACACCTGGCCTTGTATAGCTCTTCTAGGATATGTCCTACTACCATAAACCAAAATATCTTGCTGGGCTGTGGTGCACGCCTTTAATCCCAGCACTGGAGAGGCAGAGTCAGGCAGATCTCTGAGTTTGAAGCTAGCCTGGTCTACGGAGTGAGTTCCAGGACAGCCAGGGCTCACAGGGAAACCCTGTCTCGAAAAACCAAAGCCAAAACCAAACCAAACCAAACCAAACAAACAAACAACAACAAAAACAAGCAACACCTCCCCAAACCCCATAACACCAACAAAAAAATCTTGTAAATAATTTTCCTAGGTTCTGTCAGCCATTCTCAAAATTGCTGACACTGGGAGCTGTTGACATTCGGGGTTCGAACCTGCTCAGTCAGAAATACGTGTGATAACCCTGGATCTATGACTGTCACCTTGAGACACAGGAAAGGGAAAGAGCTCTTCACTTTCAGCTACCTGAACCTGACGTACATCTCTGCTGAATGAGTCAAGTCTGGCACAGCTGACCGCTGGCTGCCCTGCACAGAAGGCATACTGCTCTTCTAAAACCAGAAGCCAGTTTACCAGAACAACCAGCGTCTTAGTTAGGGCTTCCATTGCTCTGATAAAATACCTTGACAAAAAGCAACCTGAGGAGGAAAGGGTTGACTTTTGCTTATAGTTGTAGTCCATCACAAGGCGACGTTAGAGCCAGAACTCAAGGCAGGAGCTGACTAAGAAACCATAGAGGAAAGACACTTCCTGGCTTAATCCTCATGCTCAGCCTGCACCCAGGACCACCAGCTCAGGTGGAGCATCACATAGTGGTCTGGGCTCCCAGTTATTCTTATTATTATCATTACGATGATTATTATTATTAATCATCAGTTGAGAAAATACCTCCACCTGGCTGGCATGTGGGCAAACCCGTGGGGCATTTTCTCAACTGAGTTCTCTCTGCCCAAATGACTCCAGCTTGTGTTAATCTGACACGAAACTAGCCAAGACAACCAGTAAACAAGACTTGGAAGAAAAACATGTGTGATAATCTCTTGTGTGACCCATGTATGGCATATTACTTTGACTTTTAAATTTGGATTGATGGCTGTATTAGTTACTTGTCTGTTGCTATGACAAAATACAACGCCAAGGCAACTTATAGAAGAAAGATTTCTTTGGCTTATGGTTGCAGAGGGATAAAATTCTCTCTGGAATCACAATGGGGAGGCGTGATAGCAAGCAGCAGGCATGTGAATAGGCATGTGAAGCATCAGGAGCAGGCTACTGAGAGCTCACATCTTGAACCACCAGCACGGAAGTACAAAGCGGAAGTGGTAGGAGGATTTACTCTCAAAGCCTACCCCAGTGATGACATACTTCCTCCAGCAAGGCTGCACCACCTAAACTTCTCCTAACAGTGCCACCATCTAGGGACCCATCACTCAAATGCCGGAAACAATGGGAGACAGATATTCCCCTTCAAACCACCACAGTGGCTCTAGGAGATTATCTAAACAAAACAGAAATGACAAAATGAGGCTTCTGGAACTGCAAGAGTAAGGAATCAGACTAACCGAGGTCTGGGTCGGGGAGGAGTTTGCTTCTTCCATTTGAATTTTCTAAATTATGCTTATTCTTATTTTTGCTTCGTTTCTATGGTGCTAGATATCAAATTCATGGCCTTGCACATACTAGGAATCCATTATATCACTGAGTTAAGTCCTCTTAATCTTACATTTTATATGTAAAGCAAAATTACACCATCTACGACCACTGTGGTAGTGCATACTTTTAACTCCATGGTAGTGCGTACTTGAGAGGCAGAGGCAGGCAGATCTCTGTTAGTTCAAGGCTAGCCTGGTCTACAGAGTGAGTTCCAGGACAGCCAGGGATATGGAGAGATACCCTGTCTCAAAACAAAACAAAACAAATAAACACAAATAACACCACAAAACAAAATGAAACAAAACAAACAAGGTTCCCTGTCTGACACCTGCGGAGATCCCCCTCAAATCCCACCATATGGCACAGTTCTAAATGTATATAAAAATTTTTAATGGATTTAAATTATAAATGGGAGATTGTACACAAAAAGGAGATAAGGTTTACTTTTTAAATTTTTCAATTTTACATTTATTTATTTTGTACGCATGTACATGCACACATGTGCCATGTATATGCTTGTAAGCCACAGAACAACTTATTGGAGTCAGTTCTTTCCTGCCACCTGGTGGGACCCAGAGTTTGGAACTCAGGTGAGGTCAGGCTGTCAGTGAGCCATCCCACTAGTGCAGAAGGCAAGGTCTCAAAACCTCAGTGTAACACTTACCTTAAAAGGTCTTACAATAAAAAACCCTGAGCCCTGCCATCTTGCTTCCTGGGATTAAAGGCGTGTGTGCTTCTCAAGCAAAGGCATGAGATCTCAAGTGTGTGCCACTACTGCCTGGCTCTGTGTCCAGTGTGGCCTTGAACTCACAGAGATCCAGATGCATCTCTGCCTCCCGAGTGATAGGATTAAAGGTGTGTGCCTCCACTGTCTGACCTTCATGTCTAATCTAGTGGCTGGCTCTGTCCTCTGATCCCCAGATAAGTTTATTAGGGTACATAATATATCGGGGTACACAATATAATCACCACACTTCAGTGTGGAATTGTGTGCACTCTACCCCTCTGCCACATTCCCAGCCTCTTCCTTTAACTAACACCAGAAAGAGTTACAGACTAATAACTGACTAATGTAGACATAAATGTTCCTAGCCAAATAAAAGACAATAAAATACGGAAAGAATTTTACAACATTGAGCCAACACGTATATATATTCGGAAATTCCAGGCTGATCTTATATTTGAACTATGTCAATATAATCACACATTTGTATGCTGAAGGTCACACAAAGTTCTCAAGTGGTGCAGAAAAAAAGCATTTGATTAAATTCAGGAGACCCACATTATAAAAACTCAGAAAGGCTGGGTATGGTGGTGCTCACCTTTAATCTCAGCACTCCAGAGGCAGAGGCAGGTGAATCTCTGAGTTAAGGGCAGCTTGGTCTACATAGTGAATTCCAGGACAGCCAGGGCTATAAAGTGAGACTGTCTTATAAAAACCAAACCAAAACTAAAAAAAAAAAGAACCAACTAACCAAACAAAAAAAAAACCACCCTAGAAAGACTGGAGGTGGAGAGTTCACTTCAACAACCTGATGTAGCTAAAAAAAACCTACAGCCAACTTGATGCAGCGAGACTCCCCTGTGGAGAGGAATAAGCTATGGTGTCTGTTCTTCCCACTGATCATCTAACATGGGGTGATGCAGTTAGTTCCATGAATACAAACCTAAAACGTTTTGAGGGTCTTACATAGCCCAGGCTGGCCTCAAACTCTTTATCTTCCTGCCTACACCTTCTAAGTGCTGGTATTATAGGCATGTCCATCAGGCCTAGTTCAAATTTAAAATGTTATTCTAAAATTATACAACAAGGTAAAGGTATTCTAATACAAAAGCAATAAAGGCCAAGAGGTTTGAAGAGAAGAACTAATGTTGTACCTATTGTAAATGATGTAATTATTGTCATAAACCTTTACCAGCAATGTACAAAAATAGATAAATAAGTAAATAAATAAAACCTATCTGAAACAAAACAAAAAAAATGATATAATTATATTTTAATTTTTAAAAATTGCAAAAAAAAGCTATGGAGAAAATGTGTGCAAAGAAATTTAAGAATTGGAAGTTTTAGATAATTTGGACAGTTTTGAGGAAAGAGACAGCTCAGTGGTTAAGAGCACTGACTGATGTTCCGGAGGAACCGGGTTCAATTCCCGGGCTGTCTGGTGTCCAATCACACCAGGATAAAATTTAAAAATAAAAAGGGGGGCAGAGGGAGATAATTTGAACAGTTTCTAGCAGAAGGGACCCTCACAAGGGTCAGATGTACCAAGTAAGATGAGGAACAAGATGTAACTGAATTGGGAAACAAATCTTTCTGGGGCATTTCACAGAAAGCACTAGTTAGTGAGCATTGAGCTTCATCTGAAAGCTTGCAGGATAATAGTGAAGGACTGTTTTCTTAGTAGAAATTAAATAGCCAAGGGCTAGTGCTACAGCTCATTGGCATAAACTAGCAAATAATTAAATTTAAACAATGAATAGCAGGGGAGGCTGAGCTCGGTTGATAGGACTTCTAGGATACCACACATGAAGCCCTGGGTTAGATTCCCAGCACTACATATTCCAGGCATGAAGATCACCTGGAATCCAGCACGTGGGAGATGGAGGCAGGAAGATCAGACATACAAGGCCCTCATTGGCTACAGCCTGGCCTACGTGAGACTCTGTATCAAGAAAAACAGATAGCAGGGTTCTGGGGTGTACATTAGTGGATAAGCACTTGCCTAACATGCACAAGGCATTATGTTCAGACCGAGCAGTGAGAAAAGAAAAAAAAAAGAAAGAACAAGAAGTGATTTCTACTCTATGAAAGAAGGTGAATGAAGATTCCAAGGGTAGAAGGAGAAACCAAGGAATAAGAGATAACTAAGAAGCAAAGACGGAGAGGTCCAAGCCCACAGATGATCAGATAGGAGATGCTGTTGCCTAGACCAGAGGCAGAATCCAGGAATGCATGCAATGACTGGGCTCTGGAAGTCCTGAGAACTAGGACAAAGTTCTAAGACAGTGAGAGCTGATGGCTAAATGTGAAATTAGTAAATGTAAAATTTCTGGCTACTTCAAGAAAGTCTCGAAGCAGGCCTCCCTGGCCTCCGCATTGGTTTCTGTCCTGCTTGAGTTCCTGTCCTGACTTCCTTCAGTGATGAAGTTCTATGGAATGGTGCAACAAAACCTGTATCTTGAAGATGCTTGAACAAATGTTTTCCAAAAACTTGTCATGGAAAGTGATGTAAACAAGCCACCAAGAGGACAGTTGCCAGTAAAAAGCACATTGGTGGCTGCAGGTGAACGTCCAATGTCAGTAGCTGTGATGTTTACAAACACTTCATTGTTCTGGAAGTAATCCTGATTGCCAGTAGAAGAACCAGCATACAATGTAGGAAGGAAGGTGCCTGGGCAGTCTGTCTAGGGTCACTTGACAAGTCTAAATAAAACACTGCTAATCTTAAAAAAAAAAAAAAAAAGAAAGTCTCTGCATCAAAAATGGATGATAGCCACCAACAAAGTTTACTAGTGAAGATGCAGGTGTCCTTTGGTGTCAGTGGGGGATGGCTCCAGGATCCCCTTGAATATCAAAATCTGAAGATGCACATCTTCCAGTAACCCATGCCTATCCTCCTTTATGTTTCAAATCATCTCTGGATTAATTTAAAATCCCAACATAAGGGAAATGCTATGAAAACAGCTGTTGTGCTACCCTGTTTCAGGACCAGCAAGAACCAAGGCTGTGAATATTCAGTACAGGTCCATATTTTCTGCTGAATGCTCTCTACCCCATTGGTTGAATCTACAGATACAGGATCCAAGGGATCTCTCTGTCAACGGTATTTCCTAAGCACAGAAAGCCAGAATCTTGGGCTGGTGGGATGGTTCAGTGGGTAAAGGTGCTTGATGCTGAGCCTGATAAACTGAGTTCAATCCCTGGGAACAACACAGAAAAAGGAAGCCAGCTCCCATAAGTTGTCCTCTGACCTCACACACAATGTGGCATGCATGCATACACACATGTGCAAATACACACACACACACACACACACACACACACACAACTTTTTTTCCTTGAGAGGGAGAGAATCTCCCTATGCAACCATGACTGGCCTACAACTTGCAATGGAGACCAGACTGGTCTTGAACTCACAGGGATCTGCCTGTCTCTGACTACCAAGTGGTAGGATTATTACATTGCCCTGAGTGTCTGTCAACATGAGAACCCAGCACTAGTTCCACTGACCTGGTGCAGAGATCTCTACTTCCTTCTCCTGGCCAAGGAGGAGATTCTGGATGCAGCAGGACACACTCTTTATGGAGCTGTCTGTGATGATCACTGAGGCTGCCACAGTGAACAGGCCTTCCTCATCACGATTCCTGGACTCTGAAATGGATTGTAACTTCTTTCTGTTGGCAGTTGTCCACCGCACCTGAGGCTCTGGGTACCATCCCGAGGAGGTGCACTCCAGCTCCATCTCTCCATTCTCTTGAATTTTCATACTAATGTGAGGGTCAGAACCCATAGCTGTTAGAGAGAAACTGGCCTTAATTGGTGGTGGTTATTCTTTGGGGGCTTATATCATAGAACTGTAGTATTTATAGGGAGACACAGAAACTCAGGGACAAGAGGACCAGAAATCCTCAACACTTCACTCCAAAGATGACTAGGGATCAATGAAATGACACATGACAGACCTCTTCAGAAAGATGGCATCTGAAATTATAGGCCTGTAATCCCAACACTGGAAACCTTCATAAGGGAGATGGTGAGTTCTGAGTCAGCCTAAGGCTATAAAACAAATGAAGGAAGGAAGGGAGGAAGGGAGGAAGGGAGGAAGGGAGGAAGGGAGGGAGGGAGGGAGGGAGGGAGGAAGGAAGGGAGGAAGGAAGGGAGGAAGGAAGGAAGAGAGGAAGGAAGGAAGGAAGAGAGGAAGGAAGGAAGGAAGAGAGGAAGGAAGGAAGGAAGGAAGAGAGGAAGGAAGAGAGGAAGGAAGAAAGGAAGGAAGAAAGGAAGGAAGGAAGGAAGGAAGGAAGGAAGAAAGGAAGGAAGAAAGGAAGGAAGAAAGGAAGGAAGAAAGGAAGGAAGAAAGGAAGGAAGAAAGGAAGGAAGAAAGGAAGGAAGAAAGGAAGGAAGAAAGGAAGGAAGAAAGGAAGAAAGGAAGGAAGAAAGGAAGGAAGAAAGGAAAAAAAGAAAAGAGTGCTCTTTTAAAATGAAAAAATTGCAAGACTGGTGGCCTAGAGGTGGGCAAGATACAGCTGTGGTCTGGAAGCTCCAGCAGTGGCAGTGGAGCCCTCTTCTTGGAAGAGAAGTCTAGGAAAGGAGCAGAGCACAGTTGGCTCCCAATGGGCAGGCAGGACTAGACAGAGAAGACTGTTTCCATGGAGACAGTGTTTCTATGCTGTGATGCTGTCAGGGATCTCTTTAAGGACTACAACCTCAGCTTGTACCTCACATTCAAATGACTACTGAGACGCCTCCTGTTTTCCTCTTCTGCTAGATTCTTCCCTTATAGCTCTACAGGGCATAGAAGCATTTTATAGTCTGACCCCAAAGAATCACAGTTGCCCAAACCTATGAATCTATGTGAGAATGTATATTTCATGTCAAAATGTCAAGAGGTTTTAGTATTTTTTAAATTGGATGTTGAACTTATAAATGAGCCACTGTAGTTTTAATAATGCCTCTAATAATTTAATAATAAATGTCTCTAGACATTTGTTTATTTGCTTATTTATTTAATTTATTTATTTTTGTTTTCTTGAGACAGAGTTTCTCTGTATAATAGCCCTAGCTGTCCGGGAATCTCTGTAGACCAGGCTGGCCTCAAACTCACAGAGATCCGCCTGCCTCTGCCTCCCAAGTGCTGAGATTAAAGGTATGTGCCACCATGCCCAGGCTACACTTTTAGATGGAATAGCCAAGATCGTGCTTTTTCTCTACATATATGAAAGCCTGTGGACCGCATAAGCTGATGGTGCAGAGGGTTCACTGTCATGGGCTGAGAACTAGATTTCACCAGGATGGTTTTTTTTTTTAAACAGAAGCATGTTTGAAGCCAGATGTGGTGGCACACGTCTGTTAGCCCAGAACTTCTGAGGTGGAGTCAAGAGAATCAGGAGTTAAAGGGCAGAAACTACAGCATCAGATTTTTTTTTTCTCACTTGCAAGGCTTATAATTGTTAGGCTCACACTTTAAAGCCATAGACATCCACATCATTGCGTCACTGAAGTCAAAACCTGTCTACTCACCAGCTACTTTCAGAGAGACGAAGGCTTCTCCATGAGCTTGTTTATCCCTAAAGGAGCACCCATACACCCCTTCATCAGAGGTCCTGACCTGGTGTATCTTCAGAGCAACATGCCCCATAGTGATGTTGTCCTGCACTAGTGTCACCCGCCCTCGATACTCAGGCGTCTGCTCTTCCTTCAGCTCTTGGCCTTCATGGTGGACCAACACTGCAGGCGAGAATGTGTTCCGGAACCAGCGCAGCTCCATCTGCTCAGCACTCACACTGGGTGAGAGGTGACAGGGCAGCTCTGAGTCTTCACCTACTAAGGCAAGGATGGGCTCCAAGGGTCCGAGGACTTCAAAGTGACCTGCAAAGAACCAAGCAGGATCAGGAAGGGTATGGAGATAGGATAGACCTGATCGACAGGAAACCCAAAGCAATCCCTTCCAAACTCCTCTTATTCTCTTCCCATGGACCCGCTGGATCCCAGGGAGGATGGGTAGGAAGGAGCGCTGCAGCCCTTTGCACTGGTAGAAACAGCTCCATCCAGCAGCCAGGATGGGGTAGGAGGAGAGGAGAGAGATTTACCTGTATTCAGCTTGGGCAGCTGCAGGACCATGAGGGTGAAGAGACACCCAAGGCGGGGGTTTGGGAGAACTGCCACCCACATCTTTCTGAGCAGCAAGGTACCCATAGGAATCTGCCAGGAGCTTCAGCCTAGGGGGTGAATGAAATGGTCAGGAGGTACTTAAGTCCCCACAGTCCTCTAGGTTTAATTGCTAGCAATTACATGGTGGCTCACCACTATCTGTAACTCCAATCTCAGGGGCTCCAACATCTCCTTCTGGCCTCTGTGGGTGCTTGGGGTACACAGACACACATGAAGGCAAACATTCATTTACATAAATTAAAGAAAAATAGCCAAGCATCGTGGTGTACACCTTTAATCCCAGCATTAACCAGGCAGAGGCAGGCAGATCTCTGAGTTTGAGGCCAGCCTGGTCTATATAGTGAGTTCCAAACCATCCAGGACTACAAAGTGAGATTCTATGTCAAAACACCAAACTCCCAAATAAGTAAATATATAAGCAGAACAAAACAAAATAAAAAGAAAGAAATTAACTCAGCCTAAGAAATGAACAGAAGAGAAAAACCTCCATTTCCAATCCGGTACATACAGATAAACATTTAGAGTTGTCTGGGGCCTTGCTTTTGAGAAGATGGGTGGCCATGACTGGCCTGGAACTTGCTATACTGTATAGCAGGCTGGCCTGGAACTTGCCATGCTGTACAGCAGGCTGGCCTGGAACTTGCCATGCTGTACGGCAGGCCGTCCTGGAACTTGTGGCTGTTCTGTTTCTTGCCCCATGGTACTGGTGAGAGAGTTGGAGTCAGGCAGACTCCCATGGCTAGGCAATAAAGGTGTCAAACTTCTAAGATGGTTAGCTTCTTTCTCACCCTCCAGTTCTGAGACAAAAGCCTGGCAGCTTAAAACTCAGGCCATGTGGGCTTTTGTCTCCACCAGCAGGTCCCCTGTGATGGGCTGGCTCAACAAGTTCAAGGTTGGATTAGTACATGCTACACAACAATTATGGACAAATCAACTATCCTATTTCTCTTCAAACAGAACAACACTAAATTAGGTGAGGAAAACTTGTCAGACTTAAAAAACTCCATCCCTCAAGAAGAGAATGGATTTTTATGCTCATACGCATGCACAACGGTTAAGAACTTTACTTAAAGAAGTTAAAAGTAACATCAACACAAGCTTGTAAATGTTCATCTTTGGGCACACCATGTATGCACAACTGTTATGGGGCCTCCCTCTCCCACGCCCTATTTTTATCACACAATTCAGGGGCTCTGCCAGCTCCTGCTACAGCAGCATGCAGGTCTCCATCAGCTCCTCCCCCAAGGATGCCTGACCAGTCCATTCACAGTTAAAACGTCTGCTTCCACCTTAAAAAACATTCTGTCTTTGCAGTACATTTGGATATACTGGTAGACACAATGCTCCCTGATGATTCACATTTGAGAACTTCAAAGAAAAGTTCCATTCACTGAGTCTGTTAAATAAGAAAACTCCAAAAGTGAGGCTCACTTACTCTCCAGTCCTCAACTGGTTAATAAACAGATCAGTGGAGCCTCTCAACAGGTTCACAGGCTCTGACAAAGGGCTTAAAATAAGCACGTAAGTAAATGAATAAATATCTTTTACCTTAAGACAACTTGGGGTCTTCTACCACTGACAGCCAAAAACTTACAAGAACACCTTTATGGACTTTGTGAATCTTCTACAAGAAGCTATAAGAAGGCAGATGGTAAAGAGATTGCTACCACCTAATTTCTTTAATTGACTTATGAGGATATAATTCTGACTAGGCCTTTGAGTGTTTCTATGTGAAAATCGGGCCTTGCCTTTTCCTAGAGCTAACAGGCTTCCTACTGGGATAAGTAAACACAAACAGCTTTTGATGGGAAAACAAACTCAAAGCTGCCAAGCTATTATTTATGACCTAAAAATTGCCTCCTTCCTGCACCTTTAAAGGGATAGTAATGAAAAGATTTGCCTTTTTAATGACTGCTCTCAATAATCAAGCACCTATGTCTCCTGGTATTAAGGAAAAACAGCAAATAAAAAAAGAAAATGTTTAATGGATATAAAGATGCAAAGAGTTTTAGTAATGAAGGGGTCTGTGCATAAAGGTTGAAATAGCTGGATGTTTCCAGATGGAAAGGAAAGGGAGAAAGTTCATGCAAGTTGTGAGGGTCTGAGTAAATGATTGAAGGTATTTGAAAGATAAGACTTAGAGACGACATATATATGACAGTAAGTTTCAAAGTCCGAAGTTTAACACACTGACATTGAACCTCTACTCAAATCGGTGGACTTCTCTTAGGTTATTAATCTATTCTCGATAAGAGTTATAAGTACTAACTACTAAAGCTTTACAAAAACAAAACTACCACAGACATAGTCTCAAAAAAACTAAATCTCCTTTGGTCATTTAAAATTTGACGACATGAGCTGGAGAGATGGTTCAGTGGTAAAGAGCACTGGCATTTCTTCCAAAGGAGCCCAGTTGAGCAGGGTTCAGTTCCCAGCACCCACATGATGGCAATTCACAACTCTAACTCCAGTTCACATATATTCTCATATATTGGTGAATGTACGTAAAAAGTTAATAAAATCTGTTTGTGTTGTTAACTTTTCAGGCTTTATTCTTGATACTGCTCAAATGCATGAGTCTGTTCGAAGTGTGTGCCGACACTTATTTACTGCTTTCTCTATTATGAGGATCTTAAAACAGATTAAAACAGACAATGGTCCTTCTTATGTTTCTAAAACTTTTCATCTCTTTTTGTCAACTTTAAAGAGTTCATGTCTCTTCCAAGGGTAGTAGGTCAAGCCTTAGCAGATCTCTGCACTGGACAGGAAGAGGCAGAGGCAGGAGGATCTCTGAGTCCAAGGACACCCTGGTCTACACAGAAAGCTACAAGCCAGCCAGGGCTCCAGAGAGATCCTGTTTCAAAACAAACAAAACCAAGTTTATGTCTCTCATGGCATTTCCTAAATTCCCAAAGACAAGCCATAATTGAGCAAGCTAATGTATTACTCAAAAGTCAAACACACAGCCTGGTGTTGTGGCCCACGCCTTTAATCCTCAGCACTGGGAAGCAGAGGTAGAGGCAGGCGGACCTCTGTGTTTAAGGTCCACCAGGTCCACAAAGTGAATTCTAGGACAGCCAGGGCTGCACAGAGAAACCTTGTCTCGAAAAACAAAACAATTAAACACACAAACAAAAAAGGGGGGACAAGGGATTAATTGTTTAGGAGCAACTTGTCAAAGCAATTTACACTTTAAAAAATAAAAATACAGCAAGGGTCTTCAGGAAAGGTGTCAAGTTTAGTACCTGTGGGCCTTTACATACAGATGTCCATTCTTGGGCAACGGCAGCTCTACAGATCCTCTGACATCCACCCCCCCACCCCCCAATAAATTAGAATGTAATAAATGATCTTAAAAATATTTTACAACAGATGTTGACTTAAGACAGCTTTTTTAGAACCCGTTAGGATACTTTATAGCAGATGATTCGGAGAAATGTCAGCTCTTTTTGCTCCTTTCGGTTTTGACCAGATCCTTGGAATGTACAGCTGACAGATCTCTGCACCCGGCTATGCTTTCGGAGCTCCTCAGGTCCGCTCCTCGGCTGAGCGTCCCGTGTCCAGGCAGGTCCCTCACCCCCGCAGCTCAGCTGTCACTTCCTCACTCACCTCCTGCCACCCATTTATAACGCACAGCTCCGACACGGGGACATCAGGCTCAACATTCTTCCCTGGTTAGGAATGCGACAGACACACGCGGTGAGATCCTGCAGCCCGCTGCCTCACGTGCTTCCTGCTTCCGGAGCCAGCGCCGCGGGCGCTCCGACTCTGCCGCGCCATTGGCTGAACCGCTTCGAAAGACTGCCTCTGATTGGCTGCAGCTCGGGTGCGGTTCCTTACGGGAAGAAGCCAGTAGGTGTCTCTCTCAGGCCAAACTTACAGTTCATCTCGGAAGAACTGCCAACACAAGTCTAAGAACATTCCTCTGCAAAAGACTCTCTCTCTCTCTCTCTCAACGTGAGAAGTCAGTGACCAAACGACACGTGCGGAACGCCTCTCGGTGTCCGGGCCTGTTGCAGGGTGTGTGTAGAAGTGGGGAGAGGGTGCCGAGCTGAGACCGAAGAAAGGTAGCAGGCTGGACAGAGGCAGAGAAGAGGAAATGCAAGCCCTGCTCAGGGGAAGAGTTTCTCATCCTGTGGGTCGCAATCCTTTGACGGGGTCAAATGACGCTTTCACAGGGACAGCCTAAGACTATTGGAAAATAGATATTTACATTTCTTTATTTGAACTTGCTTTGTAGTCTAGGAATTGGAATGGAATTTGCAATTCCTTAGACTCCTACCACCACGCCCAGCTCTCTGAATTAATTTCTACAAACCCAAGTCAACAACCGCCACTCCTTGGCTTTCATGTCACTGGTGAAGCCAAGTATTGCATGATGAATTTCAAGGCTGTTACAGAGTTTGAAACCACAGACTTAAGTCACATTATAATTAGCCAAATCTATTGAAGTTGCTCAGGGCTGCATTCTCTGAGCCAAACTAGAGACATGCTGTGCCAAGGCAGATGGTTTTTAAAGGTGAAAACCATAAGGAGTCCTTGAATATCTGCAAAAAGCAAGCTGCAGAAGCCTATTCTGCTCTGCCAAGATTAGGCAGTCAAGGCAACCTCAAAATAGTCCTGGAATGTCTGCATAAGCAGGTTACAAAAGCCAAAATTAGCAGTTCGTCACATCATAACAAGCAGATGACCATAGCTGCACATTTCTGAGGGAGGGTCAAGGAGTCAGGGCTGCTGGAAATTTATATCCCAGGGACACTGAGTCAGAGACAAATGGCTAGTGGGTACCGAGATGACTGCCCAACACAAAATAGTTTCTGGGGCCACTCAAGAGGAACCGCAAGCAGCTTTGGAACTCAGGAGTATGACCTGGCACAAACACAGTAGGTGAGCCTTGGAAAGGCAAAGCCCTGAGGACTGGTGTCCTGAGGACCTCACGTTGTTACTGAGCTTAGCTCTGACTGTTGCCTTCATGGTCACGGTCATCACGTCCCTCATCATCTATGAACTGTATGAAAACTCTCCGCTTCTAGCCCCTCACTGGGCAGTGTTACTGTTGTTACTTACACTAATAGTGACTGACTTTTTTCAAGCATTGCTGCTGGAGCAGATTAATGATTCAATCACCACCCTTAGAAAGAATTTAGACACGTAGATTGCCAGTAAAGTTGGGCTAAGATGTTTTTGTTAATGGCTTTGTTATATAAAATCTTGGGGAACAATTTAAAGTTTATAAAGGCACACATGAGGTCAGGGAAAAAACAAAAACAAAAACAACAGTGGCAGCCTGGCTATTGCTGGCTGATTCATCTTTCCTGCTAGAATAGGTCCATGATCAAAAGTGATGATTAATTCCTTGTACCCATTTTTGCCCTCAGCTTCCTGATAATCTGTAATAATAATAATAATAATAATAATAATAATAAAACTGTTGATGAGTAGGTATGTACCCTGGAGATTTAAAGTGCAAATGACTAATTGTTTTTCATATATAAAAGTTTAGATTTGTGATTCTTTTAAGTTTTTTTTATAAGATTACCTTTTGAGATAAATAATAAAATGATTGATCCTTTCTCTGTAACCATAAAATGCAGCCTTCCAGTAAAAGAACTGGCTGAGAAAAATATCTTGCTTGCTTACACTTTGTTAATCTATAACAAGTTGCTTGGGTATGAATGTATGTGGGTCCTTGGGAAAAAACAGTTTTTCATCTATAATGGGTAAAATGTTTAGTCGTGTAAGGGAAATGGTGTTTTTTACTTGTATTCATTGTAATTCATTCAGTTGAAAAATAGAATGCAACCGCATTGTAATTTTTATACTGCTTGAAAGATTTTGCTGGGGTATATAAGCTGTAAGGGAAAAAAATAAAGTAATACAGAACCAGAAAAGAGGGAAGAAAAGAAATAAAGAAGATAGCCCCTGACACATTGAAGATGTGTGTGTGTGTGTGTGTGTGTGTGTGTGTGTGTGTGTGTGTGTTTTCTCTTTTGTTTGTCAGCCCCAGAGAATTAAAGTTTTGCCCTGATCACTGGCCCCAGAGAATTAAATTTTACTCCCTCAGATGAAAAAGTCAACTGAAGGATGATTTGCCTCCTCTTCAGCTCCTGAGCTGTTGTTGGAGGCTGGTCTTTATGGCCGCACATAAGTCAGGAAAGAAGCTGCCAACATGACCTCTCCACGGTGCGGAAAAAGGAAGGACTTTTATTATAGCTACAAGAGGGAGAGCAGCCAGAGGCATCTGGGAGAGTCCAGAAAGAAGGAAGTAGACTGAACAGGGCCAGCAGACAGAACATGGCCAGGGCTGTCTGTGAGAGGAGGGGAGACTAGCAGGAGACAGAGGAGAGAGAGATATGGTGAGAGAAGCAAGGTTATATATAAGAAGGGTGAGTAACTGGGGGGAGGGAAGGGCCAGGAGACTGCTGTGGGGGCTTTGAAATGTAGCTTGGCAGCCAGCATGCAGAAGGTAAGGGAAATGATTCCTTTTGGCAGATGGGAACCCGTTTCACCAGTTCCTGAGGAATGCTGGCTTTTATCTAGCCAACAGAAATGCTCCTATATCCAGGTTGAGCTCATTTCTGGATATTTGGACTGCCTTTGGGGTTCGGGGAATTGGAGTTTCCTTTGGACCTGACAGTGACCAAATAACTCACTAGGTTCCCTCTCCTTCCAGTTACTTCCAGTTTCCAGGCATGCCAGCCTCTTTGTTTTCACACCCACTCATGCTTCCCTCATTCTCTCTACTTGGAACATTCGTCCTCCAGGTATTCCTGTGGCTTGCTCCCCAACTTTCATTCTTGGACCTTTTACACAAATGGTTGGGGTCTTGACTTACTTGATAAGTGTACTTAAAAAATTTTTTCAGCTTATTATTCCAACAATTAATTAAATTGCCTTGAATCCCAAACACTACTTTATGCAAGAGTTAGGACACCTTCAGTCCTTTCTAGCCCCCTAACATGAACTGCAAGATGGTCAGGATTGCCACTCATCTGCACACTGGGATGCTAAAGCTCCAGCCATCATCCCAGGCCTGCCCAGAGCCTTATTTATTCCAGGGGCAGCTGAGCCAAGCTAGCTCCCCATGGGCTTGTCTTACTGGAGCTTCTTCATCTCAGTTCCAGCGCAGGAGGAATGCTGAGTACAGTAGACTGTGTAAAAGTGGGCCAAAAGGTCTAGAAGCCCCACAACTGTTAAGGTGGCTTTACTTTACTTCACTTTACTACTCTACCTCACTTTCCCTGCGCGATACATGTAGGCTCAGAGTTTTCTGAATGTTAAGTGATGACAGCATCCTACCCACTGGAATATGTGCTTTTGTATTACTTACCGATGATATTGACTTCGATTTCTATTATAGTAAATGTTTGTATAATAAACACAGCTGTGGCTCCTCCCAGCTTGTGGTTCCAGTTTTATCTGTGACCTCGATTTGTGGATTCCCCTGGCTCTCAAGCCACCCTGTGATATGCTCTGTTTCCCACAGCATCTAGTGTGAACTTCAGCATTGGGATAAAAAATGTCAAGAGGTGACTAAACAATGGTATGTTTTGTCTTCCTCTACCATCTCTGACACACTGGAAATTTCTCACATGTGTTTTTCTCACTTTCACTGGATATCTCACTTGCCCTGTGGATATCATCTGGGTAGCTAAACTAACAGTTTACCATGAGCCTCTTGCCTGGGATCTGTGGTGAGAATCAAGGGCAGCAGCTGTAAGAGGTATTGTGATATGACTAGAGTCATCCAACAAGAAGAAATGAATATAAAATTCCAACAACAAGAAATAAATGGAGACTGGAGTTGAAGACCTTAAGTGCTTGCTTTTTTTGTTTTATCTGATACATTAGAACTATCCACATTGTTTATTCCACACGAGTGTTTTTGTTATTCTTACCTAAAGATGTCTCCTTTTCAGTAATGACAAACATATTTGTTTGTTTGCTTGTTTTGAAAAAAGCCAACTTTTTCTCAAATACATTTAAAGGCTTTAAAATTGTTTCATGTCTGGTGAAGTTGAGATATTTTAAGTACTTCATTTTTAATTTGTAATAAAATTTATAACTTGATTTTTCAAAACAGTCAATCAATTCCAAGTACCTGTTTTTATAAAAATAAAATAAAATGTAATCTTCACTTTGTGGATAAGAATGTATCTTCAGGGGTAGGGTAGCCTAGAACATCCAAGACCATGGGTTCAGTCCCCAACATGGCAGTAAAAACAATCATGCCTCGCCTTTCTCTTCCAGCATAGACCTGGTTATACATGGTGGTTGTATTCAAGCATAAATTTTCTTTCTTTGTATTCATTTTTTAAAACTTTTTTGTTTGTTTCTTAGGGTTTCTCCACCTAGCCCTGGATGTCCTGGAACCTGCTCTTTAGACCAGGCTAGCATTGAACTTAGAGATCTATCTGCCTCTGCCTCGATGGTGCTGGGATTAAAGGCGTGTACCACCACACCTGGCTTGAGCATATGTTTTTATCTCATAAACTTTGTACTCTTGAAAGGAACTGAAGACCCCCAAAGAATTGTTATTTATGTGGGTTGTATCTATAAACATTTACTATAACAGCAACAGATGTTGACTTGCTTAAGACAGCTCTTTCAAACCTTTTCAGATACAGTCTAGTTGACGCGGAGGCCTTCAGCTCTTTTTGCTCCTTTCAGTGATGACCAGATCCGAAGAACTTAGAGCTGACAGGTGTCTGCACCCCGCTGTCTTCCCGGGGGCTCCGCAGGTTCGCACAGCGTGTTCCCCGCCGCCTCCCACGCGAGTCTTCTGTTGCTGGCTGACCACCCCCGACCCACAGATAGGCAGCCAGCCGCCCTCGGCCCCTCCCCACCCTGACACACACACAGACACACACGCGCAGCCCGGCTGTCCTTTCTTCACTCGCCTCCTGACACCCATTTATAACGCACAGCTCGGGCACGACATCGGGCCGGCAACAGTCTCCCGTGGTTAATGTTACACAACTCAACTTCAGCAGCGCCTTCTCCGGATCGGGAGTCCTCCGGATCGGGAGTCCTCCGGATCGGGAGTCCTCCGGACCAGGCCTCTCCTCTCCGGAGATAGCTCAGCTGGAGCTCTGCATCAGGGCGCCATCAGCTGGGACCTGGGAACCAGCTCCGAAAGAATGCCTTCCCTTGGCTGGGAGTCCGCTGCTGTTGACTGAGACTCAGTCCGTTTGGTCTTTGAATTTAAGTTAAACTGCGGTTTCTTACAACGACGGTGGGACATTTTCTTGGTTAATGATTGTCGTGGAGGGGCCCAGGCCATTGTGGGCTGACTGTCCAGGGATATAGTAGAAACCAAGCTGAGCAAGCCATGAAGACCTAGGCAGACAGCAGCACTTCTCCATGGCGCCTCTCTCTCTCTCCCTCTCTCTCTCTCTCTCTCTCTCTCTCTCTCTCTCTCTCTCTCTCTCTCTCTCTCTCTCTCTCTCCCTCCCTCCCTCCCTCTCTCTCCCTCCCTCCCCCTCCCTCTCTCCTCTTTCCCTCCCTCCCTCTTCCCTCTCTCTTTCCCTCCCTCCCCCTCCCTCTCTCTTCTCTCCCTCCTCCCTCTTCCCTCTCTTTCTCTCTTTCTCTCTCTCTCCTTCTCCTAATAAAGCTCAAAAGGGTAACTATGGCTCGTGATTCTTCCGCCACCGCAGTATCTAGCCACCGAAGTATCTAGCGCGGTAGCTGCTGCTCTACACCCCTTCAGTTGCCACATGAGGTACTTTACTAAAGGGTCTCAGAGCGTTAGGAAGGAGGAGGACCACTGACTACAGGCTGCAGTCTTGGCAATCCCACAATGGCTGGCTGTGAATGGGAAGTCCAAGAATCCAGTTGTTGCTCAGTCCACGAGGCTGGCTGTCTTGGCTGGTCTTCCCAAAGAAGTGGACTCTAGTGCTAGTGAAGAAATGAGTGTGCTGGCAAGGGGAGGGCAAGCAGGCAAAGAGCAAAGCTCCCTTCTGTCCTTATATAGACCTCCAGCAGAATGTAGGGCCCAGATTATAAGTGTCTTCCCGCCTCAAGATCCAGATGAAAGGTGTATGTCTTTTTCACATCAAGATCCAAATCAAAGATGTGTGTCTTCCTACTATAAAGGTCTGGACTAGAAGTGGATTCACCCACTCCAAACCAAGCAGAGTCTCTCACCAGTGTGCCCTCCATTTCTGGACTGTAGTTCATTCCCGAGGTTGTCACACTGACAAACTAATAGCCATCAGAGAAGCTGGGCAGTGGTGGTACTCTCCTTTAATCCCAGTGCTCAGGAGGAAGAGGCAGGTGGATCTCTGAGTTCGAGGCCAGAACGAGTTTTAGGACAGCCAGGGATACACAGAGAAACCCTGTGTCAAAAATAACAAAAAAGAAAAAAAAATCACCACAGAAACAGCTTTTAAAATAAGGCATACTATTCATATGAAACTATGGTAATTTTTATTAATTTAATATGAATTAATACATAAAAGTTGTTTTGACTTCAAATGCCATAAGTAGCAAAAGACATTAGTTAGGCATGATAGCATAAGCCTATAATCCCCACACTGGAGATATGGGGTGAAGCCCAGGGTAGTGGAGCGCACCTTCAATTCCAGCACTCAGGAGGCAGAGGCAGATCTCTTTGAGTTCAAGGCCAGCCTACAGTACATAGTGAGTTCCAGGACAGCCAGAACTACATAATGAGATGCCGTCTTGAAACAATGATAACAAGAACATAAAAACATGGGTGAGAGAGTCAAGAGTTCAACAGCAGTGCTACACAGTAAGACCATGTCTCAAGAGAAAAACCGAAAAAACCTCAGTAGGTACGAACCTAAGAGAACAGAAGCTTAATCATTTGCATATATCATAAGATCATAAACTGAGCATGGTTGTGCGTGTCTTTAATCTCAGACCTCCAGAGGTGGAGGCAGGCTGGTTTCTGGGAGTTCCAAGCTAGCCTGGTCTACACAGTGAGACCCTATCTTGAATGAGGAGGAGGAGAAGAAGGAGCCTGAGCCTAAGAAACTTGAACTGCTGCTGTCTCCAGTAAACCTGAACCATATGGACCTGGCTGCTCAGCAGGAACGTCAAGTCTCAAGCCACTCTGATTAAGCATGGACACAGGACACGGGACTCAGAACTAAGTGCTTACTGTAAGGACATCTGAGCCAACTTGTATCCAGATCGTCCCTGTTCATTCTTTCCTCCCATGTTCAGACCTGCCGACACACACTCTAGACATCTTTATTATATGCATAAAAATCTTCGGCCTTGGATATCAATGGATCATTAGCTCCTACCTCCCCACAGCTGTCCTATGGGGCCCACCCCAAGCTCTCTGATCCATTTCTTCCATCTATGGCTTCAATTTGGATTCATCTGTCCCCTTCCTCTGCAGTTCTTACATTCTGATGCTCCCTATTGCTCTTGTCTTGTCCACTGTGGCCAGAGCATCACATTGAAGCTGCAAATTACAAAAAAAAGCCGGGGGAGACCCTGCCAGTTGCCACAAGGAGAAGCATGATGTAAGATACTGATAAGCCATGAGCCACGTGGTAAGGTATAGATTTATAGAAACGGGTTAATTTAAGATATAAGAACAGATAGCAAGAAGCCTGCCACAGCCACACAGTTTATAAGTAATATAAGTCTCTGTGTGTTTACTTGGTTGGGTCTGAGCGGCTTCGGGATTGGCGGGTAAGAGAGATTTGTCCTGACCATGGGCCAGGCAGGACCAGGAAAACTCTAGCAACATCTCCCCTTCTCATACTTTCTTCTCAGCAGAGAGCTGTGTGATAGCAGCGGTCCAATAAGACTGGGTGTAGGCCCACAGAAGCAAATGAACTACTGAAGGAGTGAACTGGAGCATGAGCCGGAAGCATGTGTGAAGGAGACAGCTGGAAGATGCTTGAGGTGACCTGAAGGACACAGGGCCTGCTCTCACCGGACGGTGCTGCGCAGTGGTAGATGAGAGCTATGGCTTCTTTATGTGGCTCTGAGAAACTGGTCTTGTCCTGTGTAGGATCAGCCCGCCCTCGGGTATTGTGATTCCCTGTGCTCCCGTGAATGCTGGGCAGACGAAGAGGGGACTGTCATCAGACCCGAGCCTAAAGAAGGGTCTCAGGGGCCCAGCAAAGGCCACAGGGGCACATGTGTAGATGTGTGACCTGTCTCTCATGTTGTAGAAAGAAACATCTCCAGCTTCACAGTCCAGGAAGATGGCTATTCGGTGAAGACGCTCTTTCAGAGGTATGATCTTCTCTGGGGAGGACAGGGCTCTATACTGGCTTCCAAACATCTCCAGGGTCCAGAAGCCATTCTGAGGAACCAACAGGGCCTCCCCTTTCCTTTCAACACTGTCTCTACAAACCCCAATGGCCCACACCATTACGTTTTCCACCTCCACCTCCCAGTAATGCTTCCCTGAGGAGAAGCTCTCCCGGCCCAGGACACACGGCCGGCAGTCAAATCTCTCAGGGTTGTCAGGCACGCTCTGCCTCGAAGCGCCTCGTCTTACACTTCTCTGGTCATCTGACAGGAAGAGCTCAGGGTGAGCTGTATCTGGGTCCAGAACCACATCAGCTGTAGAAAAAGTCTCAGGCTTAGTGCTGAGATCTCAGACTCCTGGCTATGCACAACCTCTGGTCCCCTCTGAGGTCCTGGGAGCGGATGTGGGATTCCTCTGTGTGGTGGCCTTTTCAAAGAAGGTTTTATTTATTTATTCAAGGAAGCCCATAATGAAGCTCATTTGTCTCCTAGGGACAGGAGCATTATCTTCTAGAGAGAAGATGGGGGTTCTAAGAGACCTGTAAAAGTCCTTGTGCCGAGGCATCTGGGGAAGCCTGTATTCTTTGGTGCTTGATGATGACACATGAAAAAATAAATAATGCTCCTGAAGAAAAGGCAGCAAGGCTCTGGGTTCAATCACTCACCTGGCTCACTGAGTGTCAGTGTCCTGGGGACAGGAAGAAGCATTTCTGGACACCTAGCAATTATATCCCTGATCAGCACCAGGAAGCATATTGCCTTTCTGCCACAAGGGAATCCAACTGTGCACTCTAACCATCTCCCAGATAATAAATACCCAGGACAGAATTGTCTTCTTTTGAATTAATTCAGGATCCAAGAGCAAGAGCTACCCTTGGGAGAGCTATTCCTTACAGGAGAGCTCTACTACTTACGGATTACCTCCTTCTGAGAAGGGAGAGAACTGTGAGAAACAAACTGATTGAAAGCTGTAGTGATTCCTGACCAAGCTGGGGGCCAGCATTAGCAGGCTATGGCCAATGAAACACTCTTAATCCCCCACTTCCCCACTTGAGGACCCCTGGGTCCTTTGCTCATGTCCCCCTTAGTGGGGAGAAGTCTCGGGATATAAGGGAATGCCAGAGGCACTCACCGGCATGTAAGAGGGTTCTTCTCCATCCTGCAAGTGACAGAGAGGTGAATGTCAGGAGGTCCTGGCTAAGCCAGCAGAGCACACACTGCAGAGAGCAGTTCAAAGAAGCTTAACTTACGCAGTTCTTCTTGAAGTCGCCCTGAGGAAGAAACAAATGTCCTCAGTAGGCAGCTGAGAGAATTTGGGTTTGTCTTAAATGATGCAGGCTCTTGCTACAGTACCAAACCCTTCTTTCCTACCTGACAGGGCTAACCTCCATTGTGACCTTGACAGGACTCAGAATCACCATGGAAAGAAACCTAGGCTTGTCTGTGAGATATTTTCTAGGTTAGGTTAATGCATTCGATCACAGTGGCTCAGAGGGTAAGGGCACTGACTGCCAAGCCTGAGTCTAATCCCCAAGACCCATGAAGGGAAGAACCAACTCTCACAAACTGTCCTCTGATTTCTACACGCAGGCAATGGTGTGCCACCCTCCTCCAAATAAATGTAGCTTAAAAAAAAACGTTTAAGAAGCCAGGTGTAGTGATGCTCGCCTTTAATTCCAGCAGTCCAGAGGCAGAGGCAGGTGGATCTCTGTGAGTCTGAGCCAGCCTGGTCTACAAAGTGAGTTCCAGGACAGCCAGAGCTACACAGTGAGACCCTGTCTCGGAAAACAAACGAAACCCAAACAGACCAACAACAACAACAACAACAACAAATGTTTAGGCTCTGGAGAGATGGCTTAGTAGTTAAGAGCCCTTGTTGCTGTTGCAGAAGACACAGATTCCACTCCCAGCACCTACCTAGTGGTTCACAAACATCCATAACTCCAGTACCAGGTCATCCAATGCCCTTCTCTGACCTCCGTGGGCACCAGACATTCATTTGGTACACATAATATATATAGGCAAAATATTCATTCACATAAATTTAATTTAAAAATTTTCATTGACTGAGTGTGTATGTATGTGTGTGTATGTGTGCCATGTTGCAGGTGTGGAGGCTGGAGGACAGCTTGTAGGAGCTGGTTCCCATCCTCTACCATGTGGGTTCTGGGTATTTAACTCTAGGATGTCATGCTCGGCAGCAAGTCCCTTTACTCGCTGAACCATCCTGTCTGTCCGTCAGATAACTTTATCACAACAATGAAAGAAGTAACTAATAAAACACCCATACCCGAGACCCGTCAGAAACCAGAAGTGATATGCACCAAGTGAGTGGACACTATTAGGACTTTTTTGGGTTTGCTTTTGTTCAGTAATTCAGTCCTGCTTGGAACCAAGTGAATGATGCAATGTTTGCAGATCGGAATGAAAGATCCAAAGGCTTAATTATTAGGATATGAGAGTTCTGAGCCCTTCTGCTGCCTCTGCGTGTGCCTGTCTAGTGCAAACCTGTCAGAAGGGTGATGTCCTTTCTCTTCTTTTCCTCCTTCTTTTTTCATTTGAGACATGGTCCTATGTAGCCTAGGCTGGTTTTGAACTCATTTTGTAGCTAAGGCTGGCCTTGAGCTGAAGAATGGTGAATGCTATTATTCTACTCTTTTACCCTCTAAGTTCTTCCTCTTTCCCCTAGTTCCTTACGTGCAGTTTCTTTTTCTTCATATTCAACTTCCTTTTCAGCTGACAGAATCGATTTTTTCCTGTGGTGTTTCTTGACAAGGCAGATACTTCCAGACGTGAAGAGGATCAGCGTTAGTACAGGCAGAGTGACAGCCATGGCCACCATCCAGAGAGGAAAGCTGGGCACGAAGGATTCTGGAAAGTGAGCCAGAAAAGTGCTGTGTGGTGTGTGTGTGAGAGAGAGAGAGAGAGAGAGAGGACACCAGGGCTAAGGGCGCTCCTTGGAGAAAGTTGATCTGGAGCGCTCCCTCAGGTCCCAGACCTGGGGTTTCTCCTTCAGGAACGAGAGTGGGAGAAAGACGATGGTTTTTTGCTGCCCGACCTCTGACTTCTCAGGAGATAAAATCGCAGGGTCTCCCAGGGCTGCCGTGGAAGAATCCCATGGACACATGCCATGGATGAAGCCAGGTAAGTAGAGTGCTAACTCTCTACAGCCATCACCTTGCACAGGCCCCCAGCATTCTGGCCCAGGCTCTGGCAATGCCTTCCTCCTTGCTCTGCCCTTGCTGCATACAGTCTCTTCTCAACTGAGGGACAGAGGTCCAGTTTATTACACATTTGAAACCCTCCAATGTGCTGGGTGTGGTGGTTCATACTGTAATCCCAGCACTAGGGAGCCTGAGGGAGCAGGATCACCACAAGTTCAAGTGTGGTCAAGTTTAAGTAGTGAGACCCAGCCTGTTCTCCTGTCCTGTCCTCCCAAGTGTGGGGGCTGCAGGTATGAACCAGCGTGACCACTGTTCCTCACTGTTCTATCACTGTTTGATCACTGCTCATTCACATGTTTGGGACTAATTGATTTTCTTCTTGTGACAAAGGATGTGGCCTCAGTTCAGCTCCAGCCTCCAGCTCTGCAGAGACAAAGATCCTTCCTCAGACCATCCTCTAGCTTCCCATCACTACTCCAGACATCAACCTATTTGCAGAGCTATCTATATGTCCTATCTTTTCTGGACATATCTCTAGAGAGCAGAAGACTAACCTGGAATGAAAATCACGCTCTCCACCTCCTGGTTGAGCAGAGTGTTGTTAACAGAGCAGCTCATGTTCCTCACAGAGCAGTCCCTGATGATCACAGTCATGGTGACTGTGAAGAGGCCTCCTCTGTCAGCTGTATACTCTTCCTCCAGGGCAGGCACAACTTCATAATAGGGGTCTCTCCACACAGCTCGGGGCTCTGGGTACCACCCTTCAGATGTGCACTCCAGCAAGATGCTCCCATCCTCAAGGGTCTTCATTTTAATGAGGGGCTCAGAGCCCAGGCCTAGGAGGGAACACCACCAGAGCTCAGCTAACAGAGTGGCTGGTTTAGTCCCAGCACTAGGGAGGCAGAAACAAAGATTTCTATGAATTTGAGGTTAGCTTGGTCTACATAGTGAGTTCCAGGACAGCCAAGGCTACATAGTGAGACCCTGTCTCAGAAAAACAAACAAAAAGAGTAGCTGGGCTAGGGGTGTATCTCAGCAGTAGAGTGCTTGTCTGGCATAGAAGGGCTTGGGTTTGATCCTCAGCATCATGAACCAAGCAACAGTATTTCAGTGGGTGTATCTTAAGTGATCTGCTCTTAATGATGGAAAGCAAGCCGGGCGGTGGTGGAGCACGCCTTTAATCCCAGCACTCAGGAGGCAGAGGCAGGCGGATCTCTGTGAGTTCAAGGCCAGCCTGGGCTACAGAGTGAGTTTCAGGAAAGGCACAAAGCTACACAGAGAAACCCTGTCTCGAAAAACCAAAAAAAAAAAAAAAAAAAAAAAAATGATGGAAGGCAAGGAAAGGAAGCACACTGGCTGAACCTAAGGGTAACGGATGTGCAAGTTCCTGCAGCCAAAAATGGAGGGCAGATGAGGCAGGAAGAAGAGATGGGTGGGAAGAAAGGCATTGATGTTGGAGAAGGGACCAAGATGCCCAATGTGCCGGAAGCTCTCGAAGAGCGCAGGATGCCATCACATTCACAACTGTGCTCCAGCCCCAGGGCTCATCATAGCCTACCTGTCTATATTGTCTCCGTAAAGGCTTGTTTCACTGATTCTGCCAGAGACCCCCATTGTCTGACCTCTACGTAGGTATGTTCTGTCCAACCTCAAGAGACTCACTTAGAACTTCACTTCGTGCTCTGAGGGGAAATTTCTCAGCTGCTTTGGCCTTGTGGACATTTTAGAATAATACAAGAATTTGTCAGGATGCCACAACCTTATAAAACTCTCTTACTTGAAGACACTGTCCTTTCTGGCTCAGGGTTTCACATCTCTCTCCTGGCCAAGCCGAGGGAAGGCAATGGCCCACAGCTGTGTGGTTATGTCATCAGAAGAATATGCTGGAAGCCTTCAGTTGAAGAGGACATCAGGCATGAGAAAGCTTTAGACATGTGGCTAAAATAACTCGGCCAGCCGGGGTCATATCTGAGAGTCCCTGTCTCAAAACAACAAACAAACAAACCCAACAACAATACACACATACGAAATTTGGCAATCTGGAAAAAAACAATTCTATAAAACATTTTACAGGGTTTAGAGACAACAGACTTCAGGATGAAATCACCCAGCCAATCAATCCAACAAACAAAATAGGAATAAAAAAAAAAATCAAGGGGTGCTGGGGAGATGGCTCACTGGGTAAAGCACTTGCCACACGGGTGTGAAGACCTGAATCTGGACCCTCAGCACCCACACAAAAGCTTGGGTGGCCACATGTCTATAACCCCAGGGCCGAGGCCGGGGAGGAGGAGGAGGAGGAGGCAGATGCTGGGGACTACTTGGCCAGCCAGTCCAGCGGAACAGAACTCAAAGTTCAGTGAGAGACACTGTCTCAGAAAATAAGTCGGAAAGTGAGTGAGAAAGACACCTTTGGCTCCTACAAGCATAACACAGGTGAGAACACACACACACACACACACACACGTGCATTTACCACAAGCACACATGCATGTGCACAGCCCTCCACATGCATAAAACACGCACACACACACACACACACACACACACACCAACACCATCAAGTTAACTATTCTATAATGACCTAATTCAGCACAGGGCAAGGCAGTGCAGCATGCTTACGGAGAAAGAACAGGGGTTCCTGAACCCCGCAAGCACCACCAGCTAACCCTGCAGTTCTGTTGTGAACAAGATCAGGGTATGAGGTAAAATTGTGTGACACTAAAAATCATGGCTTCTGCCCGGCATGCCCAGTTTCATTGCCTCTGACTCCTGCCTTTATGGGGCCACCAGTCTCAGTACATAACTTTGCTGCTGTGTTTAACATGTGCTATCATTGGGAGAAATGGGGGGAAAGGCAAGATTAGCTGGGGATGGAGATGATGATGGTACAGGTTACAACCCCAGCACTTTGTAGAGAGGTAGGAAGATCAGAAGTTCAAGGTCATTGTCAGCAACAAAGTGAGTTTAAGCCCAGCCTGGGCTGTACTATTAATATTAACCAGTGAAATATCTATTGTGATTTTTGGGGGTGGGGGGGTAATGCTTGTTCATCTCAGGTATCCTTGTACATTTTCTAACCGTTCCTTCTGTCACTGGAAAAATGGCCACAGCTTAGCAGAGCTCACTCAGGTGGACTCAGGAAGCAACTCTCCCTGTATAAAGGGGATTACAGGCAAGAAATGTGCTAGTCTGGGATGGGTCTGAATCCAGGAGGGCAATTTCCCCCAAAAGTCACAGCGGGAAAAGTCAGCAGAGGAAAGCGGAGTGACTCACTTGCCACCATGAGCCTCACGATGGCCTGATCATAGGACCTGCCTTCCTGGAAGTAGCAGCTGTAGACGCCATGGTCATAGGCCGTGACATTGTGGATCATGAGCGCCACTCTTCCCTTGCTGATGTCTGCGCTCATGAAGGTGGTTCTTCCTCGGTATGCCGCCATCTGCTCCTCGGCTCTCTCCTGATGGCCTCTGTACACCAGCACTGCAGGGGAGAAACGCCACCGAAACCACCGCACCTCCATGCCCTCAGCATTTCTCTCTGGTGACAGGTGGCAGTGCAGTGTGGTGTTTTCTCCTACCATGGCCAGGATGGGCTCAGCCGGTCCCATGACAGTAAACTGGGCTATTCAACAAAGGAAGACAATGAGACAGGAACTCCGGCCACTAAATATCCACTGTAGACAAGTGGTATTCTAGGGTTTCAGGAGGGTTCTAGCTGTGGCCCTGGACAGCTGTAAATTCAGCCCAACACAAAATGGCAAACTTACTCAAAACACGAGATTTGTTTTTGTTGTTGTTTTGATTCTGTGGTTCTCAAGTGTGAACTTTGTAGTGACAGGTTTGTGTCCCAGTGTCATACAAAATAAACACATGTGTGCACTCACAGCACTGGAGCTGTGCTTTGGACACTGTCCTGGTTAGCTTTAACTGTCAACTTGACACAACCTAGAATCTCAATTGAGAAATCGCTTAGGTCGGATTGGTCTGTAGGCATCTTTATGGGGGATTGTCTCGATTGCTAATTGCTGGAAGAGGGGGCCCGCCCACGCCATTCCCTAGGCAGGTGATCCTGAGCTATATCAGAGCCTGACGCCAGCCAGCCAGCAGCGTCTTCCATGGCCCATCTTCTACTTCTTTGGCAGTGAAGTGAGTTCCTTGGTTGGAGGTGGTGCTGTGTGGAACAGCAAGCCCCTCTTTTCTTGACAGCCGTGGACTGTGGCCTGCATGTGTCCCCAGCCAACCCCTTTTCTTCCTATGTTGCTTTTTGTTGGGGTATTTGTCACAGCGACAGAGATGAAACTAGAATAGATACCTCCACATCACTAATGTGTGGTCCTGGAAATCCTTCAGCTAGTGTGGCCTGGAGAACTGAAAAGGCTGGAAGGTTACGGGGGCCTCCTAGATGGGCTGGTAGCTGTGGCTGGTGAGCAGCGTCTCTTGGAACAACCCAAAGATGCTGCAAATATTTCAAGAGCAAAATACTGAGTTGTGCATAATGCACACCCATGATCCCAGCACTCAGGAGATGAGGCTGGAGGATCAGCTCTTTAAAGTCGGCTTCAGCTATGTAGCAAATGCAAGTCCACCATGAACAAAAGCAGAAAAAAAAAACCAACAAACCAGCGCCCACATGAACAGAACACTGAGGTCACCCTGAGCACACACACAGTAGACCAGTGCTCAGAATGACTTGTTCTTCAGCCCAGTGCCTGAGTGTGGCACAGACCCAGGGTTCAAACCACAGCTGTGCATGTTAGCCAAACACTCTACCAACTGAGCCACATTCCCAGCCCCCTTGTTTTGTTTTATGAGACAGTGTCTTGTTATGTACCCCTGGCTGGCCTTGAACTCTTGGCAGTCTTGTCTCAGTTGCCCAAGTTTATAGGTGTACACCACCACACCTGGCAAGGTAAGCATTTAAGTATTAGTATTTGATGATGTGGAGTTAAACAATATATATCATTAAAATCTACTTCATCTGTTTTTAACTCTTGAATGTTTCCACTTGAAATTTTACAGGAGCATTTACAGGTCTCCTTTTAGGTTCTTGCTGTATTTCTGTAGGACAAAATTGGGATCCATCCTGTGTATACATTCAGAATAGAAGGATGAGCCAACACAGCAGCTCCTGGCTGTCCGTCAGCAGAACTGTGGGCATTGCTTTCTGAAAAGCTGACAGGAGCCAGACGCCTACAGCCTTACCTGAGACCAGCACAAACAGGCTGAGGACCAGGAAGAAGAGAAGGGAGGCTAGCAGGCAAGAATGCAGGGGAGTAGCAGGTTCCATAGGTCTTCAGGACAGTCTCCTAGGTCAAGTGTGGACAGGACACCCAGAAGGCCGGAGGAGAAATCACCCACGGTTCTCATGGAGCTTGCAGGCTTTTGTCCCTATGGTGGCCTCATAAGCATTCCAACTTCTGCCTTAGATGGACCCTAGGGATCGGGTTATACCTTGATGGGGTTCACTAAACATTCTACTAAACCAACACATAAACACCAGGCAGGCAGTTTTCTGTTGTCTTAGGCTCAGTTGTCTTTCCAGAGTCCAGTTTCTTCAGTGGTCATTTGATATTCCTCCCCTCCCCCCTCCCCCTCTTCCTCTCTACTTTGGCCTTCTCGCCTCATCCTCCCCTCCCCCCCTCCCCTTTCCTCCTCTTCCTGCTCCTCCGGCTCTTGCTCCTACTTCTCCACCAAGTTCCTCCTCCTCCTTCCTCCCTCTCTCCCCCCTCCAGCCTCCTTCCCTTTCTCCCCCTCCTCTTCCTTTCCTCCTTCCTCCACCTAGTGAACCCCCAGGTAAAGCTAGGTAGGTGAGACCGCCCTTCCCCCCAGGTGTTCTTTCCTGACTCAAGGATTGGCTCTTCCCTCCCAGCAGCCTGTACCCCGCCACCCCACCCCTAAGCTCCTAGGCACCTGCCAGGAGCGCTCCCCACCCACTTCCCTACCTTCTAGAATTAACCTCCGCGTTTTCTTTTCTTCTCTGAAATCTGATACCGATTATCCTTCCTTCCCTCTTCTCTCCAGCCCGCCGGTGGGCACAGTCGCCACCGAGAACAAACGGCTGTAGACCAGAGGAAAGAGCTTTCCGCTCTCCATTAGTCACGAAGTGCGGGCGCTCGCAACCACAGACCTCCGCGGAACCACTCCGCGTGCCAGTCTCCTAATTTCCATTGAGTGCTTTAGAGCCGGGGATTGGGCGGCCATGAGTCATCAGCCAATAGTCTTCCTGTGCTCGCCGTCACCGGTTACTAGGTAGAATACACAGAACTCATCCTGTCTGCCCTGGTCTTCCTTTCCCCCCTCCTTTTACCCCTTTCTTCTTTTTCCTCCTAGTCCTTCCTCCCCCATCCTTTCCTCTCCTCCCCTCTTCCTCCCACTTGAGAGATCCTGGAGTTGTGGCCACCCAGCTTCCAAATAAATCACACACGGACGCTCTTATTACTTATGAATGCCCGGCCTTAGCTTGGCTTATTTCTTGCCAACTTTCCTTAACTTAAATTATCCCAAAAGCCTCTGGGCTTTTCCCGTTCTCTAACTTCTGTAAATCTTACTCTGTGACTGGCTGGTTGTGTAGCTGAGCGGTGGTCCCTGGAGTTCTCCTCCTTCTCTGGCTCCTAGATCTCTCTGTCCCAGCTTTCTCCTTCTATATAGTCTCTCTGTCTGCCAGCCCCACCTATCCTTTCTCCTGCCTTGCTAAGCTGTTCAGTTCTTTATTAGACCATCAGGTGTTTTAGATAGGCACAGTATCACAGCTTCACAGAGTTAAACAAATGCAACATAAACAAAAGTAACACACCTTAATATTCCACAACAGGTGAAAGTATTTTTCCTTGTGGAAATGACATCCTAGTGGGACAGGGGAATGACACTGACTAGCTGTGCTTCACCAGCTGCTTACATTCTTGTCTACGGTAGGCCTGAGCACACACCAATGCAGTCACTGTGTTACTGGATGTTTTATGATAAAGTCTGGACTCTGGCAGTCCCAAAAGGCAAGGCTTGGTCACCTGTCCCTGGAAAAGCAATCAAAGACAAATAATGATGAAAAGCAGAGGATAGCTATCCAGCATGGCCACCTTAAGAAAGAGAAAAAAGAGGTCCAGTGGCTGCCCCCCCAAAGTCCATACTCATGGTTGGAACATGAAATGGAGGTTTAAAAAGAAGGTAAGAGGTATACATAACAACCAGCCCTGGTCAAGATGTGGTCCTACCCATCACCACTTACCATTGTCTCAGCTCCAGTCTCCCCTGAACCAAAAGTCAATAACTCCTCAGGACTTCGTGAAGTGTCTTCCTGGGAGGCAGGTTTCTATCCTGATGGCACTAGATCTTCAGCCTTTCCCTTCCCCCAGCATGACATTCCTAGGGAAAATTTAACTCTTTGGGGGTTAATTATTTTATAGTCAGCTGAAGAAGAGGGCATAAGTGTCTCTCTTTAGACTATCTCCTTTCCTGCCAAGGTGGTTACAACTGCATGGATGTTTTCTGAGACAGTTGTCCCAAGTCACAGCCCTCAGCATTTCTGCTCAACTGTCCAAGTGTTTGCTTGGGAGGCCTCCATTCTGATCGTTTTAAAACTCTGTCATTCACACTAGCACGGTGCCACAGCTGCCTCTGTGTCCTCTTGTTTGCCTCTATTTCTGTCTCTTAACTAGCTTCGGTTTTTTGGGGGGGGAGGGGGAGGGGGGAAGAGGAGGGGTGTTGTTTTTCTGTGTGTGTGTGTTTTGTTTTGTTTTGAGACAAGGGATCACTAATGTAGCCCTACCTGGCCTGAGGCTGGCTATGAAGACCAGGCTGGTTTTGTTATGCCCAGATCGCGGGGACCCCCAAAGACCACCACAGAGACCGAATCCCATACATAAAAGCAAAGAGTCTTTATTTTCAAGCTCAGAGATTGGACTCTCTGTCTGATGCAGCAGTGAGAGCAGAGAGCCCAGAGCCCAGGCAGGGTGGGTTTTTTTTTTTTTTTTTTTATCATAGCAGAGGTTGGGGTGAGGGGATTTCCAGGGTTCAGGACCCGGATTGGCTGACATTTGTCTAGCAATATAGGGAATGTTTGGAATGTCAGGTATTTCCTCTTAGATGCAGGCCTCTCTGGGTGGGATCCTCTTATGGCTTTTCCTGGGTCCAGGTGTTGCCTACCAGAAGCTGTGTCTGGGCCTCTAAGCCTGTCATGGCAGCTGAATGGTCAAGCTGTTTTGGGGCACCCCCATAGCTTCAAACTCATAGAGATCTACCTGCTCCTGCCACCCAAGTGCTGGGATTAAAGGCAACTACCTTAGCTTTGATTAGCCTTTGTGTTCATAAACTCCAGATGTTCCTTTAATAAAGTGTCCCCAGACTCACCTGACACCCATCACTTTTGCTACTCCTGTATTCTGTCCTATATTGTTATTTAGGTGTCAATTGTATCTTTCTAGTTACTTGAGTATCTCTTTCAAAAGGCATGCATGATCTAATTCCTCTTTCTTCGAAGGGCCCAGTTCTAATCTCTCCATTCAGATGTTAAATACAAGAGTGAAAAGGTTTTTAGTAATGCCACTTCCCCAACAACAGCTGATCCAGTTCCTGGTCCTATGCTGCAGGAGACAGCAAGACCGAGATGGAGCAGAATCAGACCACCAAAGGTCGGGAGTTCTTGAATAGCTGATGAGTCAAAGGAACTACCTCAGGGAGAAGTGTGCTGCTCAGTGATAGAGTGCTTGCCTATGTGCATCAGGCCCAAAGCTTGATCCCCAGAACCATGGGGGGGTGGGAGTGGGGTTGGGGGGGGGGATGCACACGCCGGTCCTTTAGGAAGCAAGATGCAGAGTGACCAGCAATCTTTTGAATTGCAACTCCGTTCTTAGAAGGCAATCTGAGTGTATCTTCTACACATACTTAGGAAAACATTCCTAGTCTACCTGTTCATGTTCTAGACCTCTGATTTATATAGTCAATGGTGTAGTAAAAATGGTTGAACCTTGGAGAGGTAACGTCCCGAGGAAAGCAGGTCAGCACATAAGTGACCTTAAATACTTATTTAAATGAGCAGATTTGTACAAGGTTTCCCTGTTTGCTCCTTGTTTCTTAAAAAGCCATGCATTGCTGTCTTTGGCTCTGGCCAGCCATTTGTTTGGCCTGCTTATACCCAAGATAAAACTCTAAATCACTTGCTCATTTACCTATGTTATAACATCTTTGGACCAGAAGTGTTTTCTGTTAGTGTGGTCATCTGCTGTGGGATGCTCTGTATGGCAAATGTGTTGCTGATTGGTCAATAAATAAATCACTGATTGGTCAGTGGCTAGGCAGGAAGTGTAGGCGGGACAAGGAGGAGAATAAAGCTGGGAAGTGGAAGGCTGAGTCAGAGAGACACTGCCAGCCGCCATGATGAGAAAGAGCATGTGAAGATGCCAGTAAGCCACGAGCCATGTGGCAAGGTATAGATTAATAAAAATGGATTAATTTAAGCTGTAAGAAAAGTTAGCAAGAAGCCTGCCATGGCCATACAGTTTGTAAGCAATATAAGTCTCTGTGTTTACTTGATTGGGTCTGAGCGGCTGTGGGACTGGCAGGTGAGAGAGATTTGTCTTGACTGTGGGCCAGGCAGGAAAACTCTAGCTACAGTCATCTGTGAACTAGAGGACATCATTTGATTCAGTGGAATGCTGTTGCATACTCCTGATAGTTCTGCTCATCTGCTTCGTCGGATCTACAAAATCTGATTCCAACCATGTTGGGCACTACTATTCCTGGAGGGAAGAGCTTTGGAACTGGATCTTGACTTTTAGCAATGATCCCATTCCCTTCGGATCCATGTATTGATCTGCTGTCTTAATTCTGTTTCTTCTCCCTTGCAGTAGACTACCCTCACCATCTATGAGGATTCTATTGGTTGTCCTCTGAGACCTAAAAGTCAGCAAGAGTTCAACCCTCTGTGCCCCATTTCAGCCAGAAGCAGCCAGATCAACCTGATGCCCGTTTCCTAAATGATTGTAAGGTGGCTAATATAGTAGCAGCATGCTTGAAGGTCACTGAGCCTCCCTCTCTCATAAACAACAGCTTGTAAAAGCAGAATTAAAACAGGACTTTGATTACTGGTTTTTAAAAAAGGGATTTGAGCGGGGCAGTGGCAGTGCACACCTTTAATCCCAGCACTTGGGAGGCAGAGGCAGGTGGATCTCTGTGAGTTCCAGGACAGCCAGGGCTACACAGAGAAACTCTGTCTCAAAAAAACCAAAGAAGGAAAGACAGAAAGACAGACAGACAGACAGACAGGAAGGAAGGAAGGAAGAGTATAAAAGGTGCTTGAAAATATAGATTGGTATAAAGGCCTTCCCTTACTTCCAGGGAGTAATTTCCTCCATAATAATCTGCCCACTCTCCTCACCCCAGTGACCCTACTTCACCTTGTAATAAGCTCCATTTTTCTTCTACATTATACTTCTTATGTCACATCTGAATTATTTTGAAGAAATCACGAAGCCCAGGGGAGCTAAAGGGTGTCCAGAGAGAGTCCCTGGCAACAGAGAGACACCTTACTAGAGCAGAGTGCTTGCCTACATGTTGGCAAAAACTTCCATACATATTGGCTGGCACCTGTCACCAAGCCAGATGACCTGATTCAGAATTCTGTGACCCATGTGGTAAAGGGAGAGAACCAACTAACTCAAGCAAGTTGTCCTCTGACTTCACCTGAAACTATGTTTCCAACATGCTTACTATTGTCTTAAGTCTATTTAGTGAGCTTTTGATTCTTCACTGGAAATAAAAGATCTCAGCAGATGTATTGTAACATACGCAATGCAAAAAAGTCTTAAAGTTGTGACAAAACAGAATCAGCTGAGAGCTAGGCTTCTGGGCACGTCTGTGGGGTGCTATTGTGATTATGTTAATTGAAGTGGGAAGACTGCCCACTGTGGGTGGCACCATTCCTTAGGCAGAGGCTCCGGGACTAGGTAAGAGTGGAGAAAGAGATGTGAGCACTGGCGTGAATGCATTCGTTGCTCTCTGTTCCTGACTGTAGATGTGATAGGATCTGCTCCCTGAAGCTCCTGCTGCTGCGAGTTCTCTGTGTTGGCCTGGGAGCTAAAAGCAGAGCCTCCTTAAGTTGCTTTTGTCAGGGCATTTTATCAAAGTGGGGGATACTAATAAACCAAAACAGAAGTTAA